ATCTCTACCAAATTGCTTATTAATCTTATATTGTCAAGTTACATTTTTTTTTACCAAAGATTAGAATTAAGCCCCAACACTGCTAATGTTCTTGTGTGTCATGTATGATAGAGCAGCATGTAATGAAAATTATTTCCTTTGTAGTCTGAGCTTATTAGTTAGCCCACTAAAATTCTTCAAGCCGTCTCTTCACATCACTGTTCACACAGCTCTTGCCTTTTTAAATTGGATAATATTATTGGAGAATTCACCGACTCCATACAGGTGGAGGATTGATATTTTCTAAAGAAGTGAATGGTGCTTGATATTTTCATGGGGACTGCAAATTTAAAAACATTTTACATAAAGGCTTCTATAACTCCACTTCCAAATTATGTACATTCTGTGGTTGATATGCTAGAACTGGAGACTGCAAAATCTGGTGCAGCTCCTTATAGAAACCAATCAGCTTCCAAGTTTTATTGTCAAAGCTGAAGCTGATTGGCTACCATGCACAGCTGCATCTGATTTTGCAAATCTACCCTTTGTGTCAAGGTCTACTTTACAATTAGAAGGCCCCAGTGAAAAAATTGCTTTGTAATTACCACATTGCTGCCTGCAATAATGCTTAAATGTGTAAGCCCACAGAATTGACAAAACCCTAGTGTATAAATGTTTAGCCAATTTGTTAGTACGCAACTGGCAGTGCTAAATTTAACAGTGCACATATGTCTGAGAAGGTATTTAGATGGGCTGGCATGATCCAGCCTAGTCACCTTTGTCTGCTATAAACACAATAACTCAGGATGAGGAGGGCAAGCCTTATACAGAAAGTGTGGTAGTAGTGATTAGAGGGGGGCGGCATACTGGTGACATCAGTGCCTTTTTTTATAGCCATGTGCCCATATTATGTCATTGGCATTGACTAAATATGGGTATATGTCTGCGTAAGGACACTGATGACTTTATTTACATGTGTTGCAGGGCAAAAAATGATCCTGCCAGCAGATGATTGAACTAAAAAAGAGCTTAAATTTGACAGTTGGAAAGAGGTGAGTTTAGAGTATGCCCAAAGCTCATCTCTAGTAGTGGTCAAAGTTTTTCTAACTTTAATTGATCACTATTTTCACAGATATGTGTTTTTTTTTTTATTTGTATCCACGTGAGCTGATAGATTTTAAAAGAATCAGCTGATCTGCATGAAAACAAATGACTGCCATCTCAACTCTATGGGAACCTTTAAATTGTTTGTAAAGGCAAAAATAAAAAAACATTGCACTGTCTCTTTAAATTAATTACATGTGATTTCGCATGTTTGTATTGTATTTCCCTCTGCCAATGCACTAATTTCCCTTGTTGATCCTGCCTGTGCTGCTCCTCCTACAAGTAAACTGACCACAATAGCATGGCAGCCGATCCAAGCTACCATGTTCAGTTTACATCTTGTGTCATCACACCAAAGATACAGGCACAATGTGCAAGAGCATAGTGTGCCTTCTCTTCTATAGTCAGTGCAAAGCCCACTCATCCCTGCTCTCGGATTTTGGAGGGGTGGGAAGTGACATTTGCTACCTTATCCGACTGTGTTCCATTGACATAGCAGTGCAGAAGCTTGGCGGCAACTGGACATGCCTGACATTGGACACGCCCACCAGCAGATCCGTGCATCACTGTGGAGCTTACAGAGAACACATGACCTGCAGTTTGAAGCTGCACAGTACTGCAGAAGCAAGTTTTTAACAAACATAAACCACAGTGCATTTAACCTGTGCATTTAGAGAAATAGTTTATACAAAAGAGGGATGAATAGGCCTATCCTTTTTACACAGTGAAACATAGCTTTCTGTATGCATACTTAGTTCACACAGAGAAACATATGGTTGATTTACTAAAACTGGAGTGTGCAGAATCTGGTGCAGCTGTGCATGTTAGCCAATCCGCTTCTAACTTAAGGTTGTTCAATTAACATCTGGGGCAATCAAAGGGTTAACTGTGTGTGTTTTACATTGTCCTGTGTGTGTTCTACTGCAGAGACATGCTGCTTTGTATTTCTCTGCTGCATGTCCTTGCTGACAGGAGAGAAACTTGTGTTTACATACAGGTCTCTCCCCAGTCAGCTTTCCCCAAGTGCTGGTTGGGACCCGATGATTGACATCCCTAGCCGCCAATAGCGGCACGGGTAGGGCGGTGTGTGCATGCCCCCTACCTGGAAATGCAAATCATGTATATATACGTGATTTTTACGAAGCCCTGTCACCCTGTCGCAGTTAAGCTTTGACAAAACCTGGAAACTGATTGTTTCTCTGCAAAGCTGCACTAGATTTTGCACTCTCCAGTTTTAGTAAATCAACCCTATAGTTTGCTGTATGTATACTTGTTTTACACAAAGAAATATAGTTGGCTGTATGCATAATTGTTGGGGCAGGGGGCAACCTTATAGCGGAGCTCCACCCAAAAGGGTAAGCTCCGCTTGTCTGCCTCCTCCCTCCCTCTGCACTGCCACATTTTGCCCTTTTTTTTTGTGGGGGAGGATCGGGTACCTGGTTTTGACTGGTACTCGCTCCCACTTCCGGCTCAGTTCACCATGATGAACTGAGCTGGAAGTTCGACTCCCATCCTTCTCCCCTGCAGTCTTCTGGGACACTTCACAGGTCCGACATCTCAAGGCCCAGCACGACTCATGCATGCGCAGTAGGGAACCAGCTGTGAAGCCGCAAGGCTTCACTTCCGGTTTCCCTTACTTGCAATGCTGGCGCCAGTAACCTGAAGGCTAGTGAAAAACTAGCTCGGATGAAGACGGCGCTGGACCCCTGAACAGGCACAGTGGGGCAAAAAAGTATTTAGTCAGCCACCAATTGTGCAAGTTCTCCCACTTAAAAAGATGAGAGAGGCCTGTAATTGGCATCATAGGTAGACCTCAACTATGAGAGACAAAATGAGAAAAAAAAATCCAGACAATCACATTGGCTGATTTGGAAAGAATTTATTTGCAAATTATGGTGGAAAATATGTATTTGGTCACCTACAAACAAGCAAGATTTCTGGCTCTCACAGACCTGTACCTTCTTCTTTAGGAGGCTCCTCTGTCCTGCACTCATTACCTGTATCAATGGCACCTGTTTGAACTTGTTATCAGTATAAAAGACACCTGTCCACAACCTCAAACAGTCACACTCCAAACTCCACTATGGTGAAGACCAAAGAGCTGTCGAAGGACACCAGAAACAAAATTGTAGACCTGCACCAGGCTGGGAAGACTGAATCTGCAATAGGCAAGCAGCTTGGTGTGAACAAATCAACTGTGGGAGCAATAATTAGAAAATGGAAGACATACAAGACCATTGATAATCTCCCTCGATCTGGGGCTCCACACAAGCTCTCACCCCGTGGGGTCAAAATGATCACAAGAACGGTGAGCAAAAATCCCAGGACCACACGGGGGGGACCTAGTGAATGACCTGCAGAGAGCTGGGACCAACGTAACAAAGGCTACCATCAGTGACACACTACGCCACCAGGGACTCAGATCTTGCAGTGCCAGACGTGTCCCCCTGCTTAAGCCAGTACATGTCCGGGCCCGTCTGTAGTTTGCTAGAGAGCATTTGGATGATCCAGAAGAGGATTGGGAGAATGTCATATGGTCTGATGAAACCAAAATATAACTGGTAGAAACACAACTCGTCGTGTTTGGAGGAGCGAGAATGCTGAGTTGCATCCAAAGAACACCATACCTACTGTGAAGCATGGGGGTGGCAACATCATGCTTTGGGGCTGTTTCTCCGCAAAGGGACCAGGACGACTGATCCATGTACAGGACAGAATGAATGGGGCCATGTATCGTGAGATTTTGAGTGCAAACCTCCTTCCATCAGCAAGGGCATTGAAGATGAAACGTGGCTGGGTCTTCCAACATGACAATGATCCCAAACATACCGCCCAGGCAATGAAGGAGTGGCTTCGTAAGAAGCATTTCAAGGTCCTGGAGTGGCCTAGCCAGTCTCCAGATCTCAACCCCGTAGAAAACCTTTGGAGGGAGTTGAAAGTCCGTGTTGCCCAGCAACAGCCCCAAAACATCACTGCTCTAGAGGAGATCTGCATGGAGGAATGGGCCAACATACCAGCAACAGTGTGTGCCCACCTTGTGAAGACTTACAGGAAACGTTTGACCTCAGTCATTGCCAACCAAGGATATATAACAAAGTATTGAGATGAACTTTTGATATTGACCAAATACTTATTTTCCACCATAATTGTGCAAATAAATTCTTTCCAAATCAGCCAATGTGATTGTCTGGATGTTTTTTCTCATTTTGTCTCTCATAGTTGAGGTCTACCTATGATGCCAATTACAGGCATCTCTCATCTTTTTAAGTGGGAGAACTTGCACAATTGGTGGCTGACTAAATACTTTTGCCCCACTGTAAGTGTCCTTATATTATAAGTCAGCAGCTAAAGTACTTGTAGCTGCTGATTTTTAATTTATTTTTCTTGAGGAGCCTGAACCGCCTCTTTAATAACAATATTTAGGTGTATCTTTGATCTTCTTACATTCTATCATGACTTTTGGTCTCCACAAATTTTGCATTTATTCCTGAGTGTTATGATTATAACATTTCAGAGCTGCTTATTGTAATTTTGCACAATCTCTGCTTTCAGACAGTATAAAAACAATTTGATGGGTGTGTACACCGAGAAATTGTGTCTCCAGTGCACTGCTACATAAATATACATGTTTTAAGGAGACTTGAATACTACCTATACAAAAAGAGGTCTATAGACTGTATACAGTATGCAGGTAGGATAGATATTCAGTTTTTATTTCTTTAGAGATAAATGCTGCAATCCAACCAATAAAATTAGCAAAAATGTAACATTAATACATTTTTTTTTTAAAAAGTGGTCATACAAAGATGTGATAATTAGCATTTTGGTTGAGAGTCTATCACTGTTAGATGACTGATCATTGATATTATATCTTTCTGTAGAGAGATTTGCTAATGTTTTGACTTTTTTCTTTATAGTTTTTGATCAATTAGATCTAGTCACTTATGAAGAAGTTGTGAAACTGCCTGCCTTTAAAAGGAAAACACTAGTACTTCTAGGTAATGTATTTTGACTGAAGTTACTGTTTTGGTATATTATGTCAAGCAAATTGTAATCTTGATTTACTTTTAATTTTTTATTAGGTGCACATGGTGTTGGCAGACGACACATAAAGAATACACTAATTACTAAACATCCTGACAGATTTGCTTACCCTATCCCGCGTAAGTACTGTAATTCTAAAAATATTGAGTGATTTATTGGAACAATAGAGATTAAAGAGGACTTGTAGTGGATATCAAATATGTAAAAGAAAACAAGTCACAAAATTATTCTATAATGGGCATAACCATTTGTCTCCTAGGGCAATTTTTTCTTTTTCGCACACGTTAAATTCTGCATTTTGTGCTTGAAATTACTTTTAACACCAAAGCTCCCTCCCTCCCTCCAGGAATTATATGTTTTCTGAAAGTTGAGACCCTTGAGAATAAAATGGTGGTAGTTTCAGTGTGTTTTATGTTAAACAATATTTGCGATGATATATTTATCAAATGCATATTTTCCGGAAAAATACACTAAAGTAAGTTTTACTGCAAACACAGTAGCCATTGTTTTGCTAAAATATAAAACATGGGTATGTGTCGAGTAAATAGATTCCAACCCTGTCAATGCATAAAAGTGTGCACACCCCATGATGAAACCGCAAAAACCTGTGGTACCCAAAATTGTGCAGAGACGATGCTTTAAAAAGCCTTTCCAGGTTATCAGTTTAGAGTTAACCATGACTTATGACCCTAGAATTATTGCTCTTGCTCCAAGAATCGTGGTAATACCACATATATAGGGCATTTTATATTTAGATACACATGCTCTCCTTGTGCTCCCTGTGAATTGGGGTGAGAATGAGGGTGACAGGGTGTTCTTTAATTTTTTATTGTTCACATTATATAATTTTTTTTACATTTTTGTTTTTCTTTATGTAATTATATTGCTTATTACATAGGGTGGTAGCATTGGGCAGGTGATTGATCATCTTTGTGGAGACATCTATTGTACCCCAAATCCCCCCCCTGCTCTCTATTTATTTGAAAGCCCTTAAGTGGCTCTAAAAACCAACACTAAGTGCACAGCTGCAGGCTACATTTCCTTTACTAATTTAGCATCTAAATAAATTTAGAAATTGATTTATGCATGCTCACCTTGGGATAAAATGTGGTAGGCTACATTTGTTACTATAGTTGTAATTTCTGAAGTGCAATAATATTTCAGCAGAGAATATCACTATCATCCTTTGGCCGATATGAAAATAGGCACCGATATAGGTGCCGAAAATAGCCCTACCCTCCACTGCTGCCCAATGCTTCTCAGGCTTACCTGAGAACTCATTCCAACGATCCCAGTGGCTGGGCTTAGAAATCAGTGAAGGAAAGATGGCCTCCACTCTTCTCTATGCCCTTAGAGGACTGGAGCAATGTCATTACGTCACTTCTGATTCTTTGTAAAGCACTAAATCAATTTGTTTTGTTTTTTTAAATCTAATGCTTTTTTTTTAAATCTTATTGACCTCAGATCTCTCCATAAAGAGGACTTGTCACTGCTTATTTCTATCACAAGGGATGTTTGCATTCCTTGTGATTGGAATAAAAGTGATTTTTTTGAAAATTGTAAGTGACAGTGTAAAAAAAAAAAAAAATAATAAAAAAAATTAATCATTAGTAAGACCTCATCTGGAATATGCAATTCCATTTTGGGCACCAATTCACACAAAAAGAACATTGGGGAATTGGAGAAAGTACAGAGAAGGGTAACCAAACTGATCAGAGGCATGGAGGAGATCAGCTATGAGGAAAGATTAGAGGAACTGAATTTATTCTCTCTTGAGAAGAGGAGATTAAGGGGGGATATGATCAACATGTATAAATACATCAGTGGTTCATATAGTAAACTCTGTGTAGAGCTATTCACCCTGAGATCATCACAGAGGACAAGGGGGCACTCTTTTCATCTGGAGGAGAAGAAATTTATTCTCCAAATACGGAAAGGTTTCTTCACAGTAAGAGCTATGAAAATGTGGAATAGACTCCCTCAAGAGATGGTTCTGGCCAGCTCAGTGGATTGCTTTAAAAAAAGGCCTGGATTATTTCCTAGATACACAGAATATAACTGGATACTAACATTTATAGGTAAAGTTGATCCACGGAATATCAGATTGCCTACCGGGGGATCAGGAAGGAATTTTCTTGCAGGAGCAAATTGGATCATGCTTTGGTTGGGGGTTTTTTTGCCTTCCTCTGGATCAACCGTGGGTAAAGGGATTATAACTTTTTTTTTTTTTTTTTTTTTTTTTAATGGTTGAATTGGATGGACTTTTCTCTTTTTTCAGCCAGACTAACGATGTAACTGTGTAAAATTTAAAAAAAAAAAACATTTAAAGCTGCACATCCTGATTGGTCCGGTAGTCTTCTGGGACCTGTGAAAGTTCCCAGGAGACTGTGGTAGGAAGGAGGGGCAGGAACGTCTGGCTCACTTTGCCATGGTGAATTGAGTCGCAAGTGGGAGCGGGTACCTGTCAAAACCAGGTACCCATGCCCCCCAAAAGGTGCCAAACATGGAAGGGGGAGGAGGCAAGCAAGCAGAGCTTCCTCTTTTGGATGGAACTCCGCTTTAAAGTACCCCTGTGCTTGCATGCAATGGTAAACGCATACTTAAGCCACACCCACATGTGTAAACGGTGTTCAAACCACACATGTGCAGTATCAGCACGAACGTTAGAGCGAGAGCAATAATTTTAGCACTAAACCTCCTCTGTAACTTTAAACTGGTAACCTGTAAAAATTTTTAAAGTGTCACCCATGGAGATTTTTAAGTACTGTAGTTTAGCACCATTCCTCAAACGTGTGCAATTTTAAAGCATGACATGTTGGGTATCTATTTACTCGGCATAACATCATCTTTCATATGTTACAAAAAAAATGGGGTAAATATTGTTTTTTGGTTGTTTTTTTTTTTTTTTTTTTAATTCTTTTCAGTGTTTTTTTTTCCCAAAAAGTTGCATTTGAAAAATTATATATGTTTTTAAAAACTGTCCATTTTGGTTTTTGGCCAAGTGCAGCCTGAATTTTCGGTTTCAGCACCAGAATTTTAATTTCGGTGCACCACTACTTTCTTATAATGTTTAACTTACTGAGGTTTTCAACGTTAATTTTCAATCATTGTCAAAATATGATTTGCATTAAACTGTATGTCCAGATATTATCCAAATTGAACCTCAATTCTCCCTTTCTAAAGAGAGTGTGGACATGGGGGGTGTAGGGATTGGTGAATTTCTGTAGTTCGGTAGGTATGGCTAACAAAGCTGATTAGGATTTCAGTTAAGCAAAGGCACTGTGCTGTCAGCCGAAACTGGTATTTTTCTGTACTTTCAGCATTTTTTTTTTTTGAGGGATAATACATAAGGAAACGTTAATGTAGTGTTTGTAGATATTCACTGTAAATGTTTGGGGTTTTTTGGGGGGTTTTTTATGCTCATTACATAGTTATGTTCCATCATTGTCAACATCAGTAAGCTGGCCCTGAAAAATATTATGCAGTCATTGCTGGAGGGCACGCATGCAGATAGAAAGTGGTTGCAAAGAGGTGTTAGCAGATAAGCTATGCTATGTTATATGCCGCTACTTTCAGGTGATTGGACACTGGCAAAAGCTTTCCTGGAGCCGACCCCATTGTATCCATATAACCCCACCTACTCTGTGAGGCTCATATTGTTTGCTAGTAACCCTAGGTGATGAAGCAGATTTTTTTTTTTTCTATTTTTCATTGTACTTTCTAGTTTTACTTGTACCTTCAAACAACAGTTTTATCAACATGTGACTGCTTATTCCCTTATGGCTCACTAGCAGTTTCCGAATTAGTTGGTTACCCTTGATTTACATCTTAGGAACTGTACTCAAATCTCACAACAGCCGGCCTTTAATACTTGCTTCAGGCTCTGGATCCTGCGTTCGGCACTCACTTTGGTATGTGATGTACTAAGCTAGTTAACCACAGGGTGCCGTACAAGTCCAGGACCGTGGTTCATTCTTATGACCCTTTTCAGGCCTTCCGTAACAGTTAAAGTCTGGACTCTGGATGGGACCAGTGATTTAGGTAAAGTAGGACAAGGTTTCCTGTACCTTTTTAACCACTTCCAGTCCAGACACTTTTACCCCCTTCCTGTCCAGGCCAATTTTTAGCTTTCAGTGTTATCACACTTTGAATGACAATTGTGCGGTCATGCAACACTATACCCATATGAATATTTTAGCATTTTTTTGAGACAGATAAAGCTTTATTTTGGTGTTGTTTATTCACCACTGGGATTTTTATTTTTTTTTTTCTATGTAAATGAAAATGTCCAAAAATTTTGAAAAAAGTGTTTTTCTTATACAATTTTGCAAATAAATAATATTTCATCATAAATCTTGGCCAAAATGTATTCCATATTCAAGTGACATCTTGCTTACTACTCTGCATGTGATCACTGATTGGCTAATTGTTTATATACAATGGCTGGATGGGAGGTGGTTAAATACCAGTTCCTGGCTGAACAAATGTTTAACATTTCCACCCACATTTTCTGCTGTCAACCGAAAAAGAATATTTACCATCTCACCTGTTACCTTAGAGACACAGCCAGAGGAACTTGGTCAATACCTGAGTTTTTTTTTTTTCAGTACTTGAAACCCTCAGTCTGCATCCATTCCAGGAGTACCCTGCCGGGGAAGATTATCACATAGCAGTGGTGTATTACAGGCAATCAGGAATAGGAGCACATGGAACTGCAGATAATCCACTGCAGGTCCTGAGGAAGCTCCAAGTACTTCTCAGGTTGATAGCAGTTTCCCTGTTCCAGAGCAAGGTCTCAGCGCTGACAAAAACTCCAGCCTTTTAAATCAGGCCCCCTCACAGACACACAACATGTGATCTGTCTGACTAAAGCAGAATTTTCTGCCCCTGTGTGTGATATATTCCAAAGGCTATCTTGACTTCTGGAATCAGCAAGCACTGACACCTATGGTCTAAGAATTTACCCCTGTGTCCTGTATTGTATTACTGACATAATAAGAGTTTTTACATATCTGTAAATTCCATATCTTGGAGTATGTTACATTTTTGGACATAGATCCCTCCCCTTTTCCTCTGTGATCTCTTTACTACTCTTTAAATTAAAAAAAAAAAAAAAAAACTGGAGTCTTGCGGACTGGGTTGGGTTATATGGGTACACTGGGGGGTAGTTCCCATGCAGTAATCCTTACTTTGGAGTTTGTTTACATGCTAAAAGCAGTAAACAGTCAAATGCTAAAAGCAGTAAACAGGCAATAAGCTTATAATGCCTATACCCAACAGTTGGCAGAAATTTGTTTTGAGCCCCTAAGAATTCTCTGTATTTCTGCAGGAATGGTTTCAAAATTTGGACTGTCCTGCAAATCTGCAACATGAATGAATTGCAAACAGCCTGCACTTCCTGTACTTACATCACAATGCGTTTTAATTGCTGAGATGTTAGAAACCTGGGTTCTCTGAAATGCATGTACCAGCTTTTGAGAAACAGTCTGCTGTTTAACTGGTGGTTAATAAACACCTGCACTTCATGTTTAAAGGCAGCATGTACTAGGGAACACAGTGGCTGCCATTGCTGACTTCTCCTTCTGAAAATGCTGGTTACTTGGCTTCTGTGCTGGTCCAGTAGCTTCAAAACATTTCTAAAGCACTGCCCTGCAACTTCTATGCGAAATATGAGTTCTGACTTTACCTATTTCATGCGTGTTCTGGGTCAGTGACTCAAGGTTTTGAAGCCAGAAGCAGTCAGGTCACTAGCATTTTCAGGAGTGGGTTAGCAATTGCAGCCACCGCATTTCGCTCAGCATGCAGGTATATTTTCATTTCTGTGCACTCTGAGTTTCAGGTGTCTTGGGGCGTTTGCTATGCAATGCTATACATTTCTCTTTTTTTTTTTTTTTTGTATGGAAAGACTTGCTTTAATCCACATAGCAATATACAAAATAAAACAATAAGGATCATTGATAGAAAAAATGTATGTGGACACCCCTGTTAGGCTAATAGATATGTTTGTGATTTTTAATAAAAATGTCAGTACTTTTGCAAGAGTACTGAAGAATACAGAAGGTAATGATTTTGTTTCAAATTTTAGACACAACAAGACCTCCAAAGAAAGATGAAGAAAATGGGAAGAATTACTTCTTTGTATCTCATGACCAAATGATGCAAGATATCTCCAACAATGAATACTTGGAATATGGCAGCCATGAGGATGCTATGTATGGGACAAAACTGGAAACAATACGAAAGATCCATGAGCAGGGACTTATTGCAATACTTGATGTAGAACCTCAGGTAACGTTTATATCCCAAGTTTATCTTTTTTTTTTTATTTCTGCCTTCAGCATATTTTAGTGCAGCTACAGTTGAAGCACTTGCTGTTTTTGCTAAATGTCTCTTTCCTTTACGCCTTGTTGTTATTAAAAGCTTCATGCATGCCATTGTCCTTTCAGCAAATGATTAAAAGTTGAAAAATACCACAGTCCAAGTAGCATACCATCAATATGTGAATACGGAAATATCCATATATTCATAGAGAGGCACTCATCTGGAATTTTTATATATATATATATATATATATATATATATATATATATATACACACACACACACACACACAACACAAACTGCTCAGCATAAATGAGTACACCTCTTTTGAAAAGTAAGATTTTAATCAATATCTCAATAAACACAAGAACAATTTCTAAAATTTTGACAGTTAAGTTTTATAGAACATTTGTTTAGCTCACTACATGAAAGCAAGGTTAATAATATAACTTGGATTACAAAATCTTCAGTTTTACTCAAATTAGTTGATGCAAAAATTAATACACCCCACAACAAAAACTACTATATCTAGTATTTTGTATGACCTCCATGATTTGTGAGGACAGCACCAAGTCTTCTAGGCATGGAAAGAACAAGACGACATATTGCAGCATCTACACTATATTGCCAAAAGTATTGGCACATAAACTTTAATGGCATCCCAGTTGGAGATGTAAGGCTTGGATGCAGCTGCTCAGCCATGGAAACCCATTCCATGAAGCTCTCTATGCACTGTTGTGCTAAACTGAAGGCCACATGAAGTTTGGAGGTCTTTCGCTATTGACTCTGCAGACAGTTGTTGACTTTTGCACACTGTTCGCTTCAGCATGTGCTTACACCGCTCTGCCATTTTACATGGCCTACCACTTTGTGGCTGAGTTGCTGTTCCCAGTTGCTTCCACTTTGTTATAATACCACTAACAGTTGACATTGGAATATTTAGTAGCAAGTAAATTTCATGGACTTCTTGCACAGGTGGCAACCTATTACGGTACGGCGCTTGAATTCACTGAGTTCCTGAGAGCGACCCATTCTTTCACAAATGTTAGCAGAAGCAGTCTGCATGCCTAGGTGCTTGATTTTATACACCTTTGGCCATGGAGGTGATTGGAACATCTGAATCCAGTGATTTGGAGGGGTGTCCTAATACTTTTGGCAATATAGTGTATCTTTTTCCATTCTTCAAGGATGACCTCTTTTGGAGCCTAGATGCAGGATGGAGAGTGATGCTCAACTTGTCTCTTCAAAATTCCCCATAGGTGTTCAATTGGGTTCAGATCAGGGGACATACTTCGCCATTGAACCACTTTCACCCTGTTGTTCTTCAAAAATGCAACAGTGATCTTAGATGTGTGTTTTGGATTATTGTCATGTTGGAAAAATGCACAATGACCAAGGGCACGGAGTGATAGTAGCATCTTCTTTTTAAATATAGAGCAGTACATCTGTGAATTCAGGATACCATCAATGAAATTTAGCTCCCCGATACCAGCAGCACTTAAGCAGCCCCAGAGAATGACACCACCATGCTTCACTGTAGGCACCATGCAATTTTTGTACTTTTCACATTTGCGACGCCATACCGTTTTGAAGCAATCCGTTACAAAAACATTTATCTTGGTATCATCACTCCAGAGTACAGAGTCCCAGTAGTCTTCTTTTTCAGCTTAGGCCCTGGCAAATTCTAGGAGGGCTTTTTTGTGCATGGCTTTTAGGAGAGGCTTCCTTCGTGGACAACACTCATGCATGCCACTCCTCTGCAGTGTATGCCATATTGTGTCACGGGAAACAATCACCCCAGTTTGGCTTTCTACTTCTTTAGCTAACTGCAGTGAATTTACATGGTGATTTTCTTCAACCTTTCTCATTAGAAGACGCTCTTATTGAGGAGTTAACTTCCTTGAATGGCCTGGACGTGTATGTGAGATGGTTGCAGTTCCATCTTTGTTAAATTTTTGTAGCACTTTTGCAACAGTGTTCTGACTGATAACTAAAGCTGTGTTGATCTTCTTGTAGATTTCACCTTTCTTGTGTAAAGAAATTATTTTCTTTCTCAGGCCTTATGACATTTCTCTTCTGGATGTATTCATTTTTGCAACATGGTCTTGAATGAATTTGTTAGGAAAAATACTTTTTTGTATGTGCAAATTAACAAATCTCTTTTGCAATCAATGGCCCGCATTTGTGGGAGTATTTGGAGTATAATGTCCCATAGAAAATCTTGATTCTGAAAGGAAAGTAAAGGTTTTCTGACAAATCTGTTGGGGTGTACTCATTTATGCTGACTACAGTATATGATTGTGCAATAAAAGAAATATAAGTTATGTTTTTCACAAGGACTCTGGAAGGTTCATTTTGTGGTTCTATATTTTGATTGCCTTACACTAAGTAGATAGATAATTATTTTATATGCTGTATCTTATTTTTAAACTGTTTTTCAGGTTTCTGTTTTGTAAAAAAATGCATTGCAATGCACTTTAACAATTCATCAAACAGCAGTTTGTTTCACAGCTCACACCAGCGCACAAGTGTTGTACTCACATTGTGCACTGGCATGTTTGAGATCTTTTTTTTGCATTCTAATTGGTAAAGGATAGGTAAACAGGAAAGTGTCTTGTAGATGATCTGAATCTGATTGGTTGGATTCCTTATTTCTAGGCTCTTAAAGTCCTGAGAACAGCAGAATTTGCTCCTTTTGTGGTCTTTATTGCTGCACCTACAATTACCCCGAGCATCAGTGAGGTAAGCTTACTATTCCTGTTTTTCACTGTTCGGTTATGTAATCTTTACAATAATTTAAAGATGTTCATTTATTCCACAGTTGTTTTTTTTTTGGTGGTTGAACTTTACAATAATTGTTTTCCAAAATATTTATTTTTGAGGAGAAAAGTTTTATATAGTGAAGCAATTAATATAGAATTCTAAAACTACTCTCATACCAAAGATAAGGTGACATCATAAATAAAACTGCACTGCCTATGTAAACCAAAAATCTCACATAAAACATATAACCCCCAGGGTAACAGTGCTACCTCCATTTAAATGAAAAATAAATAATAAAATGAGTCAAAAATATAATCAGAATCTTATATCCTTATAATAGTCCTCAGTGGATAAAAAGTCCAACAAATAGTGCCGAATAAAGTGCTTCAGGGATGTGTTCTCAAGTTGGGGTTCATCCACTGGGGGACCACAGAGATTTCACACCGCACTCACCCGACAACTTTAACCTCTTGCTTTAAAAATCAAGTCAATAAGGCATGTTTCCCATGTATCCTGGCTCATGAGGGTCAGCTCCCCCCGATGGTCTTCATCCAGCTCCCCAGTGAACATGTATCACGGCCCCTTATGGTAGCTGCAGACGTATCCTTGGTTTGTACACAGAGCAAAGAAGAGAAAGAGGAACCTCGCATATTGAAAAGTATTGCTTTATTACCAAAAACAAACAGTATTGCACTTACATGGAATAAAAACATTTTTTTATTTGCTAATAAAGCAATACTTTTTATGAGTTTTCTGCTGTTGTGCCAGTCTGTCAGATTCCCATGAAATCAGTGGGATTCTGACAATGCTGATGGAAATAATAGTAGGATCAGGGTAATGTGTACCTTCATATAGGACAACATTGATTTGTTTCATTTTACTTAAAGGCTGCCCTATCACTGTAGGCTAAAGTAATAGTTTTGGGTGGTTGTCCACTTAAATGTTTTTATTTCTTTTATTCAGTGGTTTATGTTCTACTTTAATTTTGTTTTGTGTTTTCCTGAATTATTCTTTCCCTTTTACTTACACACTTGCAAATTTTACTAAGCTTCCACGATGGTGCAGAAAATTACCTGTAAGTACCAGAGAGGAGTTTGTAAAGCAGAACCTAAGTGCTAGCTTTTGTAGACTTTGCTAGTTAGATGCCTTGTCTCCTTGTCTGTTGCTTTTTAAGTATTGTGTTAAGATCGTTATATTTTGTTGGGGGAAAAAATGGGGGATATATGTATTTAACAATGAGACATGGATATAGTCCCCATCTTGTCCTCAGCATTACAAACTGTAATTGGATGTACAATGTTAATAACACTGAGTGCATGGCTACATTTAGCACTGCTCTTCCTCTGTGTAAATACCAGATTGCAGTATATATAGCCCAGCATGCACACTGTAGACGGGCATCACTATAGAAGATAATAGCAGTCCCATTATAAATTTGGTGCTTATGCCAGGCAGCCCTGTTATCTTCTATAGCGAGTCTTGTCTACAAAGAGGGCAGTCAACCAACTTGATCACATAAGAAATTTACAGGCTAGAGGACCACTTGATACAGCAGTGGAGTCACTGTTTAGGGATATATGGGCATCTATGGTTTTTAATGTTAATTGCAACTGCCCTTTAAATTCTTAGTGAAGGGTATCCTTTATTTTTATTATAAATGCCTGGAAAGCTTTGTATATTGCTATCACTAAATGATCCTTTGTTTGCAGCACGTGGTCCTCACCATGATTTGGCTAAACCGAATGCATGGGGGAAATCTGTAGGTGTTTTGAATTCCCAAACAATGACTACATCTGCTTGGACGCAGTCACTGTTTGACAGTTTTTCTCCCGCCTCTTTTAGTTTTTCTATCAAAGTTTGTTAAACCATGAGAGTAGTGCCCACAGGGTCACACACGGTTTGAATTTCAGCCAGTTCAGCAGGATTGGTCAACATTAGATTTCCAGTTAGGTAGCTTCTACTTTGCAAAATGTATAGCTGATGATTTTCACTTGTGGATTCTTTTCAGCCTAGCCTGTTAGAAGTGTAGATTTCCACGTCACTGGACCACTCTGTTATACTTTTGCATGTTTACTTTATGCGTTCGTATAAACCACAACATATGATGCAACTTAGTAAAAATGCATCAGAACATTGACATTAGCCACTAGTCGTGGAGTGGCTTGCGGTGCAAAATCTCGGTTTCTGTTATATACTGTTTGGGATGATTTCAATGCTTGCTGTTATGAAAACAGCATGCCACTTAATCAGCTTTATAACCATCTGAGAGATGAATATTCAAGTACATGTAAAAATATTTGCAAATTCTGCAACATTCAGTTTTTCTTGTTAACAAAGTAGGAAAATTTTAAAACCTGCTTCTAAAATTAGAAAAGAGTTGCATAGTCCAAGTACACAGCCCATTTCTGATCTTTAGGATCTTTCCAGATGGGGCAGACTCAGGCAGAGATGACATATCCGTATCCACTTGGGACGGGTGTAAATAGACTCTCCTTCGCTCTTCCTTTTTTTTTTTTTTTTTTTTTTTTTTTTTTTTTTTTAGCAGATCGGATTCAGAGGTGGGTGGGTGTAAACAAACACAAGCTTATTTACACCCACCTGTCCATGGGGGTGAATGGACCATCTAATCAGGTCCACCTAAAAAACTGACCAGCGGACCTGATCAGACCCACCGTGTGAAATGTGCTTTAGTGTGAATTTCACCAGCTGTACCCAGTACCCTGAAGTCTATTTAACGGAGATGGAAATTAGTTTATCAACATTATGCTCCTAAGCAATTGAAATCTCACATTAGATGAACCTTTGTTATTACTTATTAAACTTTTATATCAATGGGTCTGTTTAATATCAATAAAAACGTAAAAGAGAAGTTCGGGATATGAAGAAAACAAACATTTATGCTCACCTAGGTGAATATAGCATCGATCCAATGCTGCATCTGTCCCCCCCTCTACTTTGAGAACTGAGCGATCAAAGACTGCTGATTGCTCAGGTCTTCTGTGAGCAGCACAGGGAGCAGGCGGCTCAGACTGCTGAGCCAGCCCGCAGTCCAGACATTTGGGTTGATCCCAACTTTAATTTCGGGGTCTCTGTAGAGTCTGAAGCAGCTGAATACGGTCACAGGAGTGCAGAACAAAACGCACTCCTCTGATCTCCAGTTGACGTAGGGCCAAAAAGAGCTTTGACCCTACTTCTTCTTTAAGAACAAGCCTATGGTTGCCAAAATATTCTGCAGTAGTTTTGTGTGCACTGTAGCATTCATATAGAATTACTTAATTGCACCAGAGCATATAATTCATATTACAGAAATTGAATAAATAAACATAGATGGCTCATTACAGTTTTTCTAATCATATGTTAGAATTTGTGTCCACTTAAACCTGTCGTATTTCCACAGTACTAAGTCTGCTAAGTGAAAATTCCATGTTGCTAATGTAATGCCACACTAACTTTTAGCACTTCTTCTAGAATGCCTTCATATATTACATGGCACAGTTAGCTGCCTTTTCCCATTACGTGACTTAGCTACCTTTCTGCTTGCTATCACTGTCTTGTCCTGTCTCACAAATGTGTTTAGTGTTTTCCCTATATCCATCACATTGTTCTGATATCTCATATAATTACTTGACGTGCGTAGAAGAAAAGGTTATGACACAAAATAGAAGTGAACTGTGCTTGGGATTTTTTTTCTGTATTATTATGATGTGCTTCACAAACACCATTTTTCCTGCATTATTCACTGTTTGCCGTGTTGAAAAGGATTACATTTATACTTTTCAATTAGCTTAACTACTGATTATGTTGATTTGAAATTGCAGAAAAATGACAGCTTGTGAGCTGCCAAATCTATATGAACTTTGCATTTAAAGTTATGTTTTTTTTAAAATAGTTTTTTGATCAGATTATCAGAACATTATAGGATGTGGCCCACTGTGATTAGTGTCATGAACTGTGAATAGTTGGATCTTTTAGTTTAATATTCCCAATGCTATTGGAAAGTGCTAACCCTTCTTCCTGTGTATATTTGGGGATACCATCTATGGCCTGTGATGACCAACATTGTCTTGTGTCGATGGGCAAATGCAGCTCTTACAAATACACATTCTTTTTTTAAGTTGATATAAGTTTAAGATGCTTTTGAGTTTTTTTAAAATGTATTTTGTAAAGCGCTGCACAAACTGTTGGTGCTATATAAATTCTGTATAACAATAGTAATTAATTGACTGGTACCTTTGACCTACAGTTGGCCTTCAAAGCTGCATCAAGCTGCTTTTGCATTTCATTGACTTGTATGGGGAAAGAAGCAGTTCTAATTCAAACAAAAGCCTATCTACATAGGTTCATAATGCAACTGTGGATTAGTATGTGTTTCTAAATATGTAAATGACTTTGCATTAAATATTTTCTTTTAGCATTCTTTCATATTCAACAAATAAGAAGGGGGTTGTTTCAAAATATGAATATTTGTTAAAGAAGGGGAGGGGGATATATTCATACAAACGTGTTATGGTTGCTGATAACTTGGCCTGGAAATCTCAATCACTGGTTCATAGTTTAATCTCTTAGACGTGAAATGTGTTCTAAACTCAGATTTTTTGGATTGTAGTTACTGATTTTGTCTTTACTTTTTCATTTTACAGGATGAGTCTCTTCAACGCCTGCAGAAAGAGTCCGAGATCCTCCAGAGAACATATGCACACTACTTTGATCTAACAATTATTAACAATGAAATTGATGAAACTATTAGACATCTGGAGGAAGCCATTGAGCTTGTGTGCACAGCACCACAGTGGGTTCCAGTGTCCTGGGTCTATTAGACCACTTTCAAGAGAACTTTTGGCATTTTATTACTTCTAAACCACCTCGTGCAGTACTTGGAGAAACCTCTTTGTTGGCATTATGTCAACTGGTCTTGGCCCCTAGAGACTACCTAAATGTAGTGTGACCTGAATTTATAATTATTGTTATGTCCTAATAGATGGAAATGAACTGAGCAAATTTACATTTTAAAGAGACAGTATCTTTTTTTATTTTTTTCTTTATTGTGTTAAACCTTACATTTTTTAATATCTGCATTATTCAGTTCTTTGGAATGTTATATTTTTACAACCATAGCTTTTTTTCAAAGGCCTCCAAAAACTGCACAAGTGATATGCTGCTTTCTATAATCTATTTTAATAATGGGAATTTTCATTAATTTAGCAGGGGTGAAACACTATGTTTAAGAGTCTTTTTCAAGTCAGTGGGCCAATAGTAAAGGCATATTTAATTTATTTACACTAAATAGCCTTCATCTATTGAAAGAGGAGATACCACGTATTTAACGGCCTTTTTCATTTACTGCATACAATAATAACTTTATTTGATACTGTCTCTTTGAAGAGGTCTGTAAACAATATAGAGATTTCAAACCGGGTCTTAATGCATGTGGACAGTCGCAAGCGTTTATACTGTTGGTGTGTCTGTGTTGAACAAAACTGTAACTTACAGAAACATACATTCCGTTCATGGGAAACCGTACCCGAGGGAGTTAAATAAAATTATTATAACCGAGTTGTGAACCTATGCACATCCCTTGCATTTTGGGCAACTTTATAAAAAGAAAAAAGCTGATTTTATTATTAATCATGTAGTGAAATGTGTTTGTAATTTTGTCTCAATTTAATTTTTGTTGTAAACAGGGAAGGGTTATATCAATTTTTTTTATTTTCCTGTTTTCCCTCCATTTTGGGTCTGTGTTGTCAAGAGAGTATTAATGTATAATTAAGTTGTAAGGAATTTTTTTTCCTCTTATGCATATGTAATTGTTAACAATGCACAACATTTTAATAGTTATATAATAAAAGGTTTTTGGGGACCTCTACGAAAATCAAGAATATTCCATATGAATGAAAGTTAAAAGAGAAACCATAGCCCTGTAAATTCTGAATGAACTCAAAGCTTAACCTGACCAATATTTTTTATTTTTTAGAAATTATTTCTTTTATGTGTTCAATCATATGCCTTTCGATCATTCATTTATTGTGACTAGGAAATAAATTTAATTCTGGTGGCACAGTGGATGATTGTACAGGTAGTTTGTCTAGTAATTCATATTATATTTGGTCTCAAGGAAGTTGCTAACGGGTTAATTTTTACCTTTTTTCTGTTCTCATTTTATTGGCACAACATAATCCCAAAAATTTGAAGCACAAGGTCTACAACAAGTAATCATAATGGGTTATTCAACAGTTATTTAAATATATATATATATATTTTTATGCAGAAGGCACCAGGTGAAATAGTCACTTTCATAGAGAAATATAGGCATTGTTGGGTGGAGATATTCAATCTGCTTCCTACCTAAAGCCACACATCTAAAATATTGTTTATAATATCTTGTTACATTTATTTTCATTTTTAATCTTACTTTTCTTAAATAAACAGTGAAAGCATCTCCAAGTAATACTTGCGTAATAAGTTCCTGTAAAATTAAAAAAGACTGTTCCATCTGGGTTGGAGCCCTGTATTTACCCATTTGGGAGGTAGTGAAGGAGAGTGACACGCGGTTCTAAAAATTTGTGCCAGTTAACCAAAAAATGCAATGTCTTCATCCAACATGCTTTGTTATCTCCAATGTCCTAACTATTATTTTATATTATTTTACATATATTGTCTTGTAAATTCTCAAGTTCATTGTAAACTTCCATAAAAAAAAATAATTGCTCAAGGATGGTTGGGTAGGATAAAGGTAGTGAATAAAAAATAGTGAAAAAAAATCACCATGAAAGTATAAATAAAATCAAATTTATTTTGTTCTGTGCTATTTTTTTTTCTCTGAGTCCTTCTTTAAATCTGTTACACAGTTTGTTTCTTAATATATGTAATGTGGCTTACATGTCAATAGATATCATGGCTGAAGACTGCCTCATGTACAACTTATATATTTCAGTAATGAAGCATTTGATGACTGAAAAATTTGAGTACATCTTATAAAGAAATCGGACTAGAGTTAAATAAATTTATTTATATTACCTCTTGCAACATTACATGAAACAGATGACTGAACTCTGATGACAGTTCATTTGAACTCTATTGTTCACAATGAACTTGTGAATTATCTTTAGTATTTTTTGCATATCAATTACACTCTAAGATCACAGCCTCCCATCCTTTTTTAAAATAAATGGATGGAGAAATTACTGGTGCTAGTGAAACCTAATTACATGATGTTGCTAAGTAGGTTTCTTATGTAAAGGACAATGTAATTTTTTTGGTTTCCTAATCAATCTGATTAACAGTTAAAATATCTTGCCAAGAAGATGTTTGTTTCCAGTGTCTGTTACCTTCATGTTACTTGAGCATTCAAATCCTGTAAATTATTTAAAATGTTCAATGAAACATTCATTGTATTTTCTTTTCAGAATTGCTCTCACAACGTACATTCTGCTGAATGTTGGAAGTAAATTGTCATTGCACTAATCTGCTTCAACTAAGGGCTACATCTAAGATTACTTTTACATTTAAGGGTGTCAAGTAAATTTGAGTCATTTCAATATATGAAGTGTAGTGTTAAAAGGGAAGCTATCGTGTATTTTCAACATACATTGCAAGTTTCTTTCATTTTACCATTTACCTGAAAACAATTTTAGGTGTGACTTCTAGTTTTACAATACTGGCTTTTCAGTGTTTTGTTGATTTTATTTACAGATTTCAAATTCTCCTATCTGTGAGACAAGTGTAACTTGGTAAAGAACTAATGAGATTACCAGAAAAGATGTTCTATTGTCTTCAGTCAGTCAGAGCAGACTGTCATACTTGTATTAGGAGCAAATAGAACAGGAACATAGTCATTTTGTCACCTTACCAAGCAGGATGCACAGCCTGTATTTTCGATTAGCAATTGTTGCCATTCATTTTTACTGCAATTACAAACATATTTAAAACTACCTATAGATTCCCTTTTAAGCTGCTTTTACAATTGTTATGGTCTCATGGAGGAAAACCTTTTTACATGGGCTGGATTAGTGCATTGATGAATACCAACCACTGTATTTGTGAAAAAGTATGTAAATTTGGATAGCATTTTGCTGTGATAAAAATCATAATCCGGTATGAAAGATTCAACTGTACAGTAAAGCTCATAAATCAGAAGAACGCAGATATTGTCACTTTGTAAGAATGGTTAATCAGAATTAAAGCCAGGTGAAAGATCTTTGCAATATGTTATCCCTGTGTTTATTTTTCTGCATGTCATTGTCTTGTTGCAGTTGAGATTATCTGAAAATTACTTAAGAACAGCTGTACACATATATAGCAGCTCAGACTGGGCCTTATGCCATACTGTCACATTCATTCATATCCATGTTTCTAATTACCCCCACCATTGGAGACTCCTGATCTCAGAATAACCGTCTGAAAGAAATAGGATGGGCTTCTAATCAACTAGCTATTTAATAGCTAATCACAATCAACATTTGTTTGAGAACCCTTCCCTGTACCCTTTTCTCCTCTGTGATGCAAAATAGATAAAATGTATCATAAATATAAACTAGATCATGGCTTGATCTAGATTTGTAAATTTGGCCATAAACACACAGATTTTTTTTTAAGTTCATCCTGCAGGCTGAATGAAAAAAATCCAACAAATTCCTCCATCCATCCACCAACTGTCAAAATAGAGGAACAGCAACTGAATGTGATTGGATGCAGCTGGTTTTCAGCTGACAATTTTCTGCCCAGCTCCATTGATGATTCAATCAATGGATGCCTGGCAGGAGGTGGCCCACAGGGTTCCTCAAAAACTGGCCACAATTCATACAGTGTATGGCCAGCTTTAATGTTGGATTGGGGGGGGGGGGTCATTTATCAATTTTGTTGCAAGGCAAAGCAATTCTAAACCTGAACAGTGAGATGCATCATGGGACATTTATTATAAAATTACAGGCATAAATTCTTCCTTTGACTAAATAAAACATGACCCTGACCACTTCCTAGGCTTCCTAGATCAGTTTTTCTTCCATTTTTGCATTTAAAAAAAAAAAAAAAGCGGAAGAAAAATGAATAACCATTATATCCTATTGAACTTTTCACACCAGTCTGTTGCGTTTTTAAAAGTCCTGCTTGCTTTGTGTTTGGTGCTGTAAAAAAATGCACCCGAAATGCTCCTCCCCATTGAAACAAGTGGAAAAGATGGTAAAAATTCATCAAGAATGCACCCACAGTAGCGTTTTTAGTGCTTTTTATGCATGTCAGGTGAAAAATGTACCAGAAATGTAGCAAAAACAGATACGATTTTTTACTGTGTTTTTACAATGGAGCAACGTGAAAGTAGCCTTAATTACGCATCTGTTTACAGTGGAAAACTGTCTTCAGTTTTTCACTTCTTTAAAATTTCCAAGCTCACATTTGGCTGCCCAGGAATACAGATGCACAGGTCTGTAAAACTTTTGCACAGACTTTACTGAAGGAAACAGCTTAATTTGCAAATAAATCCTCATGCACACTGGATGTTTTTACAGCTGCTGTTTTTGGCTCTTGGCGGGTTTTTTTCTACAGCCAGTAAACTCCCCAGCATGTTATCCTATGTGTCCATGGGCTGTAATCAGCATTTTGTGGCTGAAAAAACCCCCAGAACTAGAGGGTTTCTAGAGGAGTTTTTTAGCTGTAAAAACGCTCAAACAGGCAAACCAGTGTTTTTGGACAGTTTTTTTTTTTTTGGTAAAAATAACCACAAATGCGGTTAAAAACTAATGCAAAAACGCTGAAAACTCACATTTTAGTATGACTTACACAGCTATCGCTACCAGCGTTCTTAAAACGCCCAGTATGCATGGAGCCTAATTGTGTCACTACTTTGCATAATAAATGTATCAGGTACCGTATTTTTTGCTCCATAAGACGCACCTAGGTTTTAGAGGAGGAAAACCAGAAAAAAATATTCTGAACCAATGGACTGTAGACCTAGTACAGGAAATTACCAGAGACTGTGGATGTACTACAGGAGATGACCAGAGACTGCAGATATATAGTACAGGACATGACCAGAGACTGCGGACACAGTACAGGGGATGACCAGAGACTGCGGACACAGTACAGGGGATGACCAGAGACTGCGGACACAGTACAGGGGATGACCAGAGACTGCGGACATAGTACAGGGGATGACCAGAGACTGCGGACACGGTACAGGAGATGACCAGAGACTGCGGACACGGTACAGGAGTTGACCACAGACTACGGACCTTTGGGGAGCGGGGAATTTGTCAGGTAACTGCTCCCACTTCCGCTGCGATCGCCTAGGCGAGCGAAAGTTGTCCTCCCTCCCTGTAGTCTTCTGGGACACGTGACAGGTCCCAGAAGACTACGGGGCCACAAAGCGCAGCGCTTCTCGCGCGTGCGCAGTGGGCACCCAGCTTTGAAGCCCCAAGCTGTCACAGCCGGGTGCCCACACTAAAGATGCCGGCACCAGGGAGAGAAGACGGCTGGTGAAACCAGCCGTGGTGAGGACACCGCTGGACCGAAGAACAGATAAGTGGCTGTATTTTACAACTCAGCAGCTACAGTTTTTGTAGCTGCTGACTTTTTTTGTTGTTGTTTTCACCTGGAACTCCACTTTAAGGGGCAGCTGCTTTTGGCCCTGCCTGGCGATGCCACAGAAGAGTCGAGCGGCCGGCCTGGTATTCTAACATGGCAGCAACGGGGAGAATACCGGCCCGGCCAATCCATATTCGTTCCATAAGACGCACAAACATTTCCTCCCATTTTTTTTTGTGGGGGGGGTGTCTTATGAAGCGAAAAATCCGGTATATTTTAGGTAGGATAAAGGAAAAAAAAAATTAGGAGAGCACACTTACTGTCACTGGGTTGTCTTTGGTTGGTGAGTCATCCAATGTAATGAATGGATTGGGGACAGTCATTCAGGACTCAGAAGTGATGTTTTACAAGTTGCTTCCAGGTCAGTAATAGGAAGGGGTGAGCAGCAAACAGATGTTTGGTGATCTTCCTTCCATCTACGTGGCAGCACCTGACACGCTGGTCCCAGGTCTACCAATGGGCTTGTGGAACCCCAGAAACTTGGGGGGGGGGAAACAGTAATAGGGGTGTGTGGAAGCCACCAGATTACTTTCATTACTTTCATCAAAAAAATTACTTTTTTTTTTTTTTTTTTAAATAATCTTAAGTCATGTGGTGTCCTCATGCCAAGATCAAAAGCGCTTCCTAAGGCCCTCAGAAAGGAGAATGTTAATGCCTGTGGGTCTTGAAAGGGATTTAGCCTAAGAACCCTTACATTTATTTGTAGGATCTGCAGGTAAGCCTTGCAAAGTTGCTATCAAGGAGCATAAATCCACTATAAGAGATTGCATCAATTTAACCTGCATGGGAGGTCTGTCAAGTAAAAGCTTTCCTCATAGACTGTCCAAAATGAACATTACAGTAAGACTAGTAAAGACCAGGCCTTCTGCAACAATGTGCTGGAGATTGATGAATCAAAGATAGTTGTTTGGCCACGGCAACAGAAATTGTGTTTGCTGGAAACATGAAGAGCATTTCAGGAGACAAAATTCATACCAACTGTGAAGTATTATGGTGGCAATGGTATAGTTTGAAGTTGCTTTGCTACCTCAGGGCCTAGACAGCTTGCAGTCAAGCTATGAATATAGCATCATCCCAAAGCTTGATGAGAATATCTATCCAAAAGTTGAAGCTGAACAAGAAATTAAACTTTAGCATGATAATCCAAAGCACACTAGCAAATCCACCAAGGACTGGCCTGTTCAAAGTTTAAATGTGTGTGAATTTTGAATGGGCAGGTTATGCAAGGCAACCCAAAAATATCTTGCTCAAGGAATTTTGCATAGAAGAGCAGTCAGAAATGATACTGAGTCTATATGAAAGTCTGCTGGGTAGTCATGCAAGGCTCCTACAAGAAATAATTTCTGCTAAAAAGGGCATTACCAGCTTATGAGGCCATGGGCTTTTCCACAGTATTCATTATATTTATTAACATTTTTGCTGAAAAAAAAAGTTGAAAATGTTAAACATAGGTTATACTCACTTTTTTTTACATCACTGCATATCAGCCTCAATGTAACATGCAAATTATAAATACCATGCATAGGTATGCCTGTCTGTTATAGTGAAACTTGAAAGTTAAATGCCCATTTAGTTTTGTTCAGTGAAATTTAAAAAAAAGTGTATGCTGCTGTAAATATTTGCACCCACTGACCACTTGCTGATACATTGAGACCATGCTGACATTGTTTGGTATGTTATTGATCCCCTTCCTCCGCAGTCACAGATTTGTGGGTTTAATAAGACTTTATTGGCAGCTAAGGTAAAATAAAAAAGGAAGTAAGCTTTTTTTAATGTACTAAAGATATTTAAATATAACTGCTCCAGAATAACCGTTTCACAGAGAATATAAGAAACATACAGTTGCAAGAAAAAGTATGTGAACCCTTTGGGATTACGTGGAGTTTTGCATGAATTGGGCATAAAATGTGCTCTGAACGTCATCTAAGTCACAACAATAGAAGAACACAGTCTGCTGAACATAATACTAACAAACATTAGATGTTGCCATGGTTTAATTGCACATAACATGTAAACATTCACAGTGCAGGGAGGAAAAAGTATGTGAACCTTTGGACTTAATAACTGGTTGACCCTCCTTTGGCAGCAATAACCTCAACCAAACATTTCCTGTAGTTGCAGATCAGACCTGCACAACGATCTGGAGTCATTTTGGACCACTCCTCTTCACAAAACTGTTTCAGTGTAGCAATATTCTTGGGATGTCTGGTGTGAATCGCTCTCTTAAGGTCATGCCACAGCATTTCAATCGGGTTGAGGTCAGGACTCTGACTGGGCCACTCCAGAAGGCGTATTCTGTGCTGTTGCAGCCATTGTTTTGTTGAATTACTTGTATGCTTTGGGTCATTGTCCTGTTGCATCACCCATCCACTGCGGAGCTTCAGTTGGCGGACAGATGGTCGTACATTTTCCTGCAAAATGTCTTGATAAACTCTGGAATTCATTTTCCCATCAATGACAACAATCCGTCCAGGCCCTGAGGCAGCAAAGCAGCCCCAAACCATGATGCTCCCTCCGCCATGTTTTACAGTGGGGATGAGGTTTTGATGTTGGTGTGCTGTGCCTTTTTTTCTCCACACATAGTGTTGTGTGTTCTTCCCAAACAACTCAATCTTGGTTTCATCTGTCCACAGTATATTTTGCCAGTAGTGCTGTGGAACATCCAGGTGCTCTTTTGCAAACTTCAAACGTGCTGCAATCTTCTTTTTGGACAGCAATGGCTTCCTCCGTGGTGTCCTCCCATGTACTCCATTCTTGTTTAATGTTTTCCTTATTGTAGATGTGTCAACAAAAATGTTAGCATGTGCCAGAGATTTCTGTAGGTCTTTAGCTGACACTCTGGGATTCTTCTTTACCTCATGCAGCATTCTGCGCTGTGCTCTTGCAGTCATTTTTACAGGACGACCACACCTAGGGAGAGTAGCAACAGTGCTAAACTTTCTCCATTTGTAGACAGTCTGTCTTACCGTGGACACATGAACATCAAGGCTTTTGGAGATACTTTTGTAACCCTTTCCAGCTTCATGCAAGTCAACAATTCTTGATCGTAGGTCTTCTGAGAGCTCTTTTCTGCGAGGCATGGTTCACATCAGACAGTGCTTCTTGAAACCAGTAAACCCAAAACAGGTGTGTGTTTTTTTAAGGGCAGGACAGCTGTCAGCAACACATCCAATATCATCACACTGATTGGAGTCAAGGTTGGCTCACTCCTGGCTCCAATTAGCTCTGGGAGAAGTCATTAAGCTAGGGCCTCACATACTTTTTCCTCCCTGCACTGTGAATGTTTAGATGTTATGTGTAATTAAACCATGGCAACATCTAATGTTTGTGTAGTATTATGTTCAGCAGACTGTGTTCTTCTATTGTTGTGACTTAGATGACGTTCAGAGCACATTTTATGCCCAATTCATGCAAAACTCCACGTAATCCCAAGGGGTTCACATACTTTTTCTTGCAACTGTATAATTGTAAGCTCGAAAGAGCAAGGGCCCTTGACCCCCTCGCATTTTGTTTTGTTACTGTATTGTCTCATGTACTGTCCCCCACTATAATGTACAGCGCTGAGCAAACCTTTTAGCGCTATGTAAATACTGTATAATAATAAACCGCAAAATGGCCATGCAATGCATTTAATGTTTTTATACACTTCTGTGTATAGTTTGGTATATGCTACTCACATTGGGCTCGCTCACTGAAAAAAACAATGGACTCCTCCATGACTATTTTTTACAAGAATTTGTTTTAAAAGGGCCTAATGTTTAAAACTAAACATGCACAGTTCCATAAGTGGACCCACATCATGCAAAAAAGAATTCTTAAATTATAAATATTAAAGAACTGGACATATTTCTGGTCAGATATGTCATGGACACCTGATAAGCTCCTCCTACCCCTAATCTGTACAATCAATTAATGATATCTCACTAGATGCATCTGGGAGGCCCAGGTAAATTCTGAACATAAAATGCTGGCAGTGTCTTTTTATATTGATCTTCATAGCATACTTTTTTTTTTCTTTTTCTTTATTTGCACAGTTGCACTTTAGCTGTGTTGTGGAATTATCTTTAGGGCTGTGGATCCTTCATTTTTAGAGTTAAGGTCTACTTTAAAGTAAACCTAAGAAAAGCATGAAGTCCGCAATTGGTGTTTTTTTTCTGGAAAATTCTTGTTACCTTGTGCTTGGCCTAGAAAAGTCTTAAAGAAATGTCTTGTCTTTTTTTCCAGGTTAGTGATTCTGAAAACACTGAAAAATTTGTACTATACAGCCAGGGAGCTAACGTTCTCAAAAGGAAGGCAGCAGCCTACATAGTTGTCTTATGGCAGTACTCTGAAACTGAGAGAGTAATTGCACTAAACTCCTGAGAGCCCCTTATAGTGACTAATCGACAACTCTGTATACATATTAAATTAGCAAAAGTATTGATTGTAAAAATGCGATAGGCTCATCAATTTTTAAGCATGTATAACCCCCAACCTACCTTCGATCTTGCACAGTTATACAGGCTCCTCTTCTGTATAAAATTGCTTACTCTGATTTCAATGCAAATTGTAAGCTTCTCATAGCCTGCACTAGAAGCTGCAGCAAGCCAGAGCTCTCATTGTTTCCTGGTTGACTGATAGCCAGCATCATCTCTTTGTTTCTGTATTTTCAATCGTGGAGCTTTTGCATCACATGCGAGAGGCAAGAGGATGTAGTGACCATGTCACTGAGTCTAAAAAAAGGTATTTAATGAAAATGGAAAGTTGTATTTACTAATTTTATTAGCATGTTGATTCGGGGAGAAAGGAGGAACCAGGGAATGCAAAATATAAGCTGATTAAACTTCAACTTTAATGAGGAATTAAAATTGCTGTGAAAAATTGGTAAGAGTAAGTCTCTTTTGCCATAAAAACTTTGACCCATGCTTCTGGTAATTTTTCCCTTTGCGTGGATACA